AATACTGTTGATCTAGGTAAAATAACAAAGCACAGATCAAATAATAGTCAAAATCTAATCATGTAATATAAGTGGGGTAAAATAGGGTTTTGATGAAATCAACGGATTCAGTCACGTGACTTTAGGTATGTTGTTTGAATAACATCACAAAAATTTAATTAATGTAATTTTAAATGAAGCAGTATTGTAAACCAATGACAAATATAAATCAGGTACTTCTTGTTGTTTAGTTGCAACGGTGGTGCCCACGGAAGCGTAAACCTGATAGCGATGTACTTCAGGACCCAAAGAATCAGAACTTTGCCCAATTATGATTTCCCAGTTGGCATGTCTCCAGTAGAAAATTATAATGGAATACTCCTAAGCAGTCGAGTCGCCGAATGGAACACTAAGCCTCAAGAGTTTTAACAAGCTGCCCCAATGCAAATAATAGGCCAAGTCCAATTTGACAAATGTCCCTTGCACTCTGAACTCAGAAGAAGTCCATCGACGTGAAGAATAAAGCTAAAACTGAACTCCGGGTGGTGGGTGACAACTGGCGTGGCAGTGGATTGCTGGCGATTGACAGTAAGGGCGGTCGCGGAAAGTGTGGTGACTATGGGATACCGATGGGGAAGAAGGAGTTTAGGGCTTGAGTTGATTGGGTATTGTAGATGCGGGCTGTGTTAAGTGTTGTATATAATGGGTTAGGGTTATTTTTGAGATGTTGGAATTGGGCTAGAAGTAAGTGGTTGGATGATTATGATGGGAAATGGGCTGTGTAAGGAAGGGGTAGGGATAAAGGAATATTTGTGAGTATATTTGGGTAGGAATTATGGGTTTCGGGTAAATATGTGATAAATGGGCTGGGGATTGGGTTATTGGCCGGGTTGGATAATTGGGTTGATATAATGGCCTTATTAGGCTAAATATGAGATATGGATAATGACCTCTTGGACTTGGGCTACTTATGATTATGTGGATGTAGATTGAGCCTGAGTAACGGGTTAAATGATTTGGAGACTAGAATATTTGACTGGGTGTTATAATGGACTGTTTGGATTAATAATGGATTGTGTGTATGGGTTAGGGTTTGCAGGAAGCGACAGCAGTAACATAGCAACTCAGATTTTTTTTATTTTTTTTCCCCGCAGGTGAATAGTACCGTTTTTTTTTACGAAGAACAAATAACGACAAAATGGGAAAAACTAAAAAAAAACTGCTACCGCCATTGTTTTTGTGTTGTTTTGCAAGTTTTGGGATCTACAAATTTTTGGGAAGAGGGTGGGAAGAAATTTTGGAATTTAGAAGAGAATTTACCCAAGTTTCGGCTCTGATACCAAATTTGATGCAGAACCAATGAGACAGTTAATTGAGAAATAGAACAGATATATAGGGAGAGGAAATTAAAGAGAAGAATGGGGAATTAAGGGGAAGAAGAAGAATTTAACAAAAGAGGGCAGAATAAGGGGAGGGATGCGCCATAAGCCAGCAAAATATTATTCATTTATCATCAACTGAAAATTAGAGTGCAAAATAGGTTTAAATAGTAAAGCAACCCTAACGAGCTTGGGCCCTAGCCCATACAAGTCCAAATTTAAATAATAATCCAAGAAGATAAATAAAGCTTAAATAAAATGAGTAAACGTCGTCCAATGTCCTCATCACCGGCTATATAGAACTTTTTTCCATCACTCTGTATAGTTCATTTCTAGATCTACACAAACATCATTCTTATCAACTTATTACATGCCATGTTATTTTTTATCTACACCTCCCACTTCTAGTTTGTTTTGCCGAGATTGCATCATTCTTATTAAAGGGAGACTCTTTAGGTCATGTCTGAGTGCAAACACCTGAGTATTCTGTCTCTGAATTTATCTCGATTAGAACGACTAACAACTTGTTGGTATATATTTTCATTTCTTATCTTATATATTTTAGTATGAACACAAATGCTTCTTAGCCCTCATTTTGGCTAGTTTCATCTTAATGGTATTTTGTGGTTTAGTACTCCAACACCCAATACATAAAGCAGGAATAAATTCATTGGTCTGTAAAATTGGCTTTGATATTCTTATCACACTTCACTATACTTGCTTAAGGGGGGTGCCTCATCAAACTCTAGTGACGAATGGTGCACCTGATATTGTGTTTTTTGATGCATAACAGTGTAAATGTCACTGTTGGAGACAAAGAAGACAGGGTGATGATGACTGGAATTCACACAGTCGTTGACGTGTTCTGCGTGGGTTGCGGCTCACTTGTGGGATGGAAATATGTGAGACTTTTTTTTTTACGTACTGATGTTCTCAATGATCAAATGCATTTGCCGCTTATATATTTTTCGTGAAAACCAGGAAGCAGCTCGTGAAGAAAGCCAAAAATACAAGGAAGGAAAGGTCATTCTTGAGAGGTAAACAAATAAATCTGTGCTTTTGCGTTGTATTTCATATATCAAAGCTTCTGAATTGTACGTTTTGCTGCTGAATAGGTTTAAGGTGCTGGGTCCTGATGGAAGCGAATATATTCCAGAATCCTTTATGGCTGGACCTGGAAGTGATAGTGATGATGTTTGATTAATTTCTCAAAATTTTCAGTAACCATTCGACTCTATTTTCGAACTGTACATCCTTAACCTTCCTTTCGTATATCTCCCTTTAAGTTTTTATTCAGTACAGATGAGTTCACACACGGTAGTTTCGAAATTTAGCTCAACTTTTTGGTCTGAATTTATAGGCAGAACGGATTATTAGCATGTTTTACTTTTTGCGCAATAAAGTGGTAACTTTGTCGTGCACATTGGTTTTTATTTTTTTGGGTGCTTTGAGGTATGTTGACTGAAACTATTCTGCTTAGAGATGCCACTGATGTCTGGTGAGCAGGTAATATAATATGGGTAAATAGCCGGATCTGGAGGCTGGTTTTAGGGTGGCAACGGCTTGGTCCTTAGACACCCAAACTCGAATTGGCCATAAGGACAAGCCCAGCTTGGCTCGTGTGGACCCTAGCCAAGCCCGAGTTGGTCTTTCTTTCTATTTTTATTTTAAAAATAATAATAAAATTAGCAAAAAAACGTGTCAACCTATGAGCTCAATCCGAGCTACTTGGCCCATTTACCATCCATAGCGGGTTTATGAGAAAGGCCTTTGACCAGAATAATTTTCGAAAAAAATTCTTATAATTTGTTTTTACCAAATGGGGAAAATTCACATCTCAGGTGTTATATTTATTCCAATTCAAAAATGAGGTAAATTGTTTGAAAATTCAAAAATCAGGTTTGTCACAGATTTATTCATTGGTTATATATCGTCAAATTAATAGGTCATATATTATTCTGATGTCATATATCAAAATTTTTTTAGGTCACAGATTTATTTTGAAGTTACAGATTATTCAAATTATAGATTATATTTTATCTATGGGTTACATAGGTCATAGTTTATTTTTTAGTCACAATCACTTAATTTTGGTCACAAATCAGTGAAATAATTTGTCACAGACGACTAAATAGTTGGTCATAGATTTTAAATAATTGGTCACAGATTCCAAACACCCACTACACCGGTCCCGATCCAGCACCAATCTTGACTATAAATCACCACTACCCAATCGACGCTTGCACTAGACCACCGCAACCACCTTACCACCGTACTACCACACCCAATTTAGATCCCATTCCACCACAATACTTGATCACAACCAGCATCATAACCACCAACAACAATAATAACAAAAAGGACCACCACTAGCCTGATCCACACTACCAATCATAGATTTGTCATTGCCAAAACATCACTACAACCATCGTCACAATCAATCAAATATAATTGGTCACAACCACACTACCAATCATAGATTTGCCCTTGCCAAAACACCACTACAACCATCGTCACAATCAACCAAATATAATTGGTCACAAACACCCCTTTCCCATCCCACCCACAACCACCGCATCATAGCCATGACCGCCACATACCGCAACAAACACAACACTAATCACAACCATTATACACCACATCAACACAAAAATCACGCCGCCATAGCAACCACCAACCCTACCTCAAACACCAACCACGCCACAGCAGACAACACTAACCGCAACCATCGCACACCACAAAACCGCAAAAAACACACCACCACAAACCAAAGCAACCACCAACCAACCAACCACATCTCAAACACCAACCACATAGAACCGCAACCACAACGACGACAAAATCACCACTACAAGATTGCACCATCTAAATCTATCGACACCTCTCAAATGATGTTGTTTTGGATCTCAGATCGACGTTGCTTTCAGATCTACGAGGCGACGCAGCAGCATCACGAAGATGCATATCGGAGCACGTCATCACCGTCATCAAGTTCATGCGGAAATGGCCGGCGAAACAACAAATCACCACAATCTGTGTGTACCGGTGATCATAGATTCGGACGTAGAGGCGCCGACGCTGGAATTGCGCAAAGCGGTGACTTTTCCCAGCGACGAGCTCCGAATACCACCACCACGCAGCCACCACCATCAACTCCTCAGATCGACGCATTGAAGCTTGTCGCAACGCTCAGATTTTGTAGCAGTCGTGACACCAAAGCCCATCGCAACACCTATGCTCGTCGCGGCGAGTGGCTCTCAGTTTCCCCAACACTGACAGAGGAAATAAAAATAATGCTAATAAAAAAAATAATAAAATCATTTTTCCCTTGGATAAATCGGAGCCAAACAAAATCTTAATCAATTGAAACTTAAATAGCCATCATTTTACTCATCTAAAAGCCCATTCAAATTTTGCTCTTCCAATCACTATTTTTGTGAAAAGAGGTTTGCGAATTCATTGTTAATTTGGGACATTAACAGCACACGTGTCTAAAAATCTGCATATTTCAAGATAAAAGTCTCCCAAAACTAAAATTTTCAATTCTATTCTGTCCTGTGGTGAACATAATAATTGCCCATTGATCTTGTTTGGTGAATCTTCTTTACTTTCTATTTTTCTCAATTTGTACATTACACATTTGAAGTGCCTTAAAAATTATGAGTCAGAAGTTCAGTCCCAGTTCTATTGTCGCCTTTACCATATGAGTTAGAATGAAACCAACATTCCTTATGTTCAGTTCCACATATAATAGGAACTAGATTTGTGAAATTACTTGTTTACATCGAAACTTCTTTATCAGTGATAGGAACGGAGAGATCTAATTAATTTCGCTAAAAGTTTAGGGACCATTTTTACATTTAACCTGAGAACAACCGGTTACGGGGAAAACATTCTTCTGTAATTTTAGCTATTATCATCTTGTTGATATGAAATAAGCTTCTGATAACATTATACAAAGTTCTCAATCTTATGGGAGATCAATTCACAATATAGTGACAAAACATCCTACTCGTTAATGTACGAGGTTTTGCGTCAACGTGCGACTCATTTCTTCTTTGCTTCCTCTCTGATTTTCTTTTCCTAGAGTTTCTCTCTGGTAAGATGAAAGACAAAAAACAACAATAAAAAGCAAAGAATTATTCTTATGCCGTTACCTGCGTCGCATTGAACTCCTCAGCACCCTCAGATTCAACTAAGGTATTAGAAACATTCATTTTTCCCTCTTCACGAAATGCTTCTTCAGGCATCAGAATCAAGCCTGGTGCTGTAACAGGAACCCCTTCATCCGCATCTAGGCTTGATTCTTCATTCAAGCTCAACGAATTCTCGTCATTGATTTTTGCATAAGCGATACCGGAATCATTGCCCGACCAACTGTTCATTCTGGCTTTACCTCATTCGCTGTGGAGTTTCGAGCTGAGCAGAACAGAAGAGAAGAAAAGAAAAGAGTTAAAGCTTTTTGTTGGCTCGACATGCTCAGAATAATCTGTCAAGTCAAGGGTTCCATCATTCCCGTGGAAACGCAGTCAAAGTATGGTTTTGGGGGGTGGAATTTGTGGCATCAACCTATAGGGTTACGGTACTTCGTAGACTCGATAATTCGTCACTTGTATCAATACCCGACTCTTCCTTCCTCGGTAATGCTTTCTGCAACCATGGCCGGGGATTTCTCAGTCACTTCTCCATTTGACTTGCATCACTCCCATTTCTTTCCCTTGGTTGAGTCAAAGTTCTCAGCAACTATTAGCAATACAGAGTTCAACATCGACTCATAGGATTGATCAATAATGATTTCGTCCTCTATAATTTTCTCGAGTTGGGGCTTACCCCAATCCTCGGAAACAGTTATTGTCTTTTCCGTTTCCCATGTTTCAAGAATTCGATCATCCTGTCAGTATGAACTTGTACTCGGAACAATTTGCCACTGGTAATATCCTTTTGAACCAGTGATGAAATATAGGAAGATCAGAATTAATTTTTTGAACGAAATGAAGACTTGTTATCGTTCATAGACAATATTTACCAGCTCAATGTTCCATACATGCCCATCGAACCAATTTAACGGTACTGCATCAGATGCATCCCACAACCCAAAAATGGGATCATCTCTTACAATTAGGATTTGCTGGCCAAATGTGCATTCCTTTCATAACCTAAATCTGACATGGACGTTCTGGGTTGGTCTGAAGAACAAGTGTGCTAGAAATTATAAGCTACAATTTAAATACGAAAACATATAACTGTGAAATAAAAGATTCTACGCTAACTGTGCAAATAAACTATTAGGAAAGTAACTTAACGAGATTGAAAAATGTGACACACATGAAGAAAAATAAGGATTACCTGCATCATATTTGATTCGATTTTCTTCTTCATTTTCAAAAATACTCTGCAACAATATGATGAACACAGTGCATAATCACAGTTAATTTTCGTCTGATACAAAAGATATTCTTCATTCTCACTCACAGTCACTAAGATATCTTTTTCTTTGTATATTTTATGTTTCAATGTACAATGTCAATTTTCAGTCATCAAAATTCTTATATTTTGCACTTGCAGCACTTGATCCATGTTCACATCTAGCTTTTGTTCTCAAATGAGCTAAAGATCTTGTGAGGCATGTTAAAGATTCAAATCCAGCACGGTTTAAATATGAAAAGGATAATTAGTGTAAAAAAGCTTGAGCAATTTGGTTTTGTTTTTAGAGGAAACTGTTCGTGTGAAATCCGCAAGCGTACGGGCATGCCCGGTCTTGAGGCCAGGCGGATGAGGCCTGCGCCTCAGGCCCAAAATCCAAGGGGCCTCGTTTTGTTGGCCCATTTTTTTTTCGTTTTTGGAGTATGGTAGCCCACAGCCCAGGCCCCATTAGCTTAAAACTCTCAACCCAGTAGCCCACCTGAACCACTAAACCCGATCCACTATCCACACCCAATTTTCCCCAAATGTCAATTGATTTCCATTTTCCCCCAAATCGGATTGGGAAACCGACGAAATCGAAAACGCCTCCCGTCGCCAGCGAGCCTTCCCCTCTTCGTCTGAACTCTGAAGTGCCAATGTGTGGCTGTGCCATCTCCGAGTCTCTCTCGCTCGACGTTTCGAGGCCCTCGACAGTTTACTCGAAATCTCCTTAACTCCTTCTTCCGCTTCCAAGTTCAACCCTAGGTATCTCTAATGTCTCTCTCGGACTCTCTCGGCTCTCATAATACAAATGTATACACTATACATATATATTATATACTGATATAGTCTACTGTCTACGCCTCGACAGCTTGACTGGAGTCACTGGACATCTCCTATTCTCCTTCCGCTTCCGAGTTCAACGGCGTAGCCCTAGCGGTTGAGGTAAGACTCAATCACCATGTTCATGTAATCACTAATCATGTGTATTTATTTACATTTTTTGTGTGTATATCAG